ACAACGGGGGGATCAGGTCTAGCCAGCATTGGTTCACAAATAGCAGGTCCTGCTTGACCAACCTGATCACCTTCTATGGTCTAGTGAGCTCATGACCTAGTGACCTAGGTGGATGAGGGAAAGGCTGTTGATGTAGCCTACCTAGACTTCAGCAAAGCCTTTGACACTGTCTCCCATATTCTCCTGCAGAAGCTGGCAGCCCGTGGCTTGGGCAGGTACACTCTTGGCGGGATAAGGAACTGGCTGGAAGGCCAGGCCCAGAGACTGGTGGCGAGTGGAGCTAAATCCAGCTGGCAACCTGTCACGAGTGATGTTCCCAGATGTTGGTGCTGGGGTGTGTCCTCTTCAATATCTTTATTGATGACCTGGATGAGTGCATTGAGTGCAGCCTCAGTAAGTTTGCGGATGACACCAAGTTGGCTGGAAGTGTCAATCTGCCTGGGGGTAGTGAGGACCTATGGAGGGATCTGGACATGCTGGATAGCTGGGCTGAAGCCAATGGGATGAGGTTCAACAAGGTCAAATGCTGAGTCCTGCACTTTGGCTGCAACAACCCCAGGCAACACTACAGTCTTGGGGTAGAGTGGCTGAAAGACTGTGTAGAGGAAATGGACCTGGGAGTATTGATTGATGCTCTGCTGAACATGAGCCAGCACTGTGTCGGGGTGGCCAAGAAGGCCAATGGTATCTTGGCTTGCATCAGGAATGGTGTTGCCAGTAGGAACAGGGAAGTGATTGTCCCCCTGTACTCAGCTCTGGTGAGGCCACACCTTGAGCACTGTGTCCAGTTTTGGGCCCCTCACTGCAAGAACAACATCGAGGCCCTGGAGCGTGTTCAATGAAGGGCGACAAAGCTGGTGAGGGGTCTGGAGCACAGACCTTATGAGGAGCGGCTGAAGGAGCTGGGATTGTTCAGTCTGGAGAAGAGGAGGCTCAGGGGAGACCTTATTGGTCTCTATAACTACCTGAAGGGAGGTTGTAGTGAGCTGGGGGTCAGCCTCTTCTCTCTAGTAACTAGTGATAGGACTAGAGGAAATGGCTTCAAGCTGTGCCAGGAGTGATTAAGGCTGGACTTTAGGAAATACTACTTTTCTGAAAGAGTGGTCAGTCTCTGGAATGGGCTGCCCAGGGAGGTGGTAGTCACCGACCCTGAAGGTGTTCAAGGAAAGATTGGATTTTGTGTTGAGGGACATAGTTTAGTACTATTGGTGATAGGTGGATGGTTGGACTGAATGATCTTGAAGGTCTTTTCCAACCTTGGTGATTCTGTGATCCTGTGAAGAATAACAATACATTCTAAAAAAAAGAAATGTATCCTCAAATATTTGAAGCTGAATCTCATTCTTTCCAAAGACAGCCCCTGCTCTTCAGTATGAGCAGAGTTCTGTAACCATTGAACTGCAGACATTTGTCCTTTTTGCTTGTTTGCCTTTAGCCCTTCCTGATTGATCCCAGTAAGAGAGTCTGGGTGTATTACTCTCTTTACTCCTTTTCATGGTTTGACATTCATTTTCTCTCAATAGCTTTAAGACTCCCCTGCTCAGTGTCTAAGACATTCACCTTGTTTTTGATTGCATTTATGCATTTCCACTGACTTTGTAAGGATGGGTAGGTATCTCAGATGTTCTGAGTCAACTTACTAGGCCAAATTTTCAGGCGTTGTGATTCCTAAACTCACCACCAAAGCACAGACTGTGATTATTTTCTTTTGAGCTGAAACAACTCCTGCATTTGACATTATGGTATTTAAAGCATTTGAAGTTATATACATGAACTAAAAATGCAATTTTAAACAGATGCTCTTTTAAAATATCTATGAATAAATTTGCTTTGTAACTTGTCTTCTAAAATGTTTTTTGCATAGGGGAGTTCAAAGTTGTTGGAGCAGCAAAATAAGGAAGATTTTCTTATTGCTTGGGATCCAGTTCACTGGTCCAGCAGCTAGTAGGCATGATGAAATCAACTTCTGCTTTGTGCTGTTTCTTAGCATGTTTATCAATACAGGATAAGGGAAATAATTTCTAGAGCCTCAGATGCTCTTAAACTATTTTGCAGTCACTGTCAAAATAATTAGTTTCTTTAACTCTTCAGTTACATCATGCATGGTAAGGAAAAAGTGATTAGAGTCGAGAGAGAGTCCTTTGGAAAAATATCAAGGAGCATTTCTTCCAGTATAATGCATTGCCTAATATGTCAGCTACTCAGATTTCATTAAAGCTGATTCTATCTCATGTAAAGGTTTATAGAGAACTATGGCATGGCCAATGGTTACAAGATAAGCAGCTGACAAAACTATTTAACTACAAAACACTGTGCAGCTACTGGAACTGGCATTAAATGTTCACAATATTTCTTTGTCAACACCACTGCTCTTTTTTGCTTATGACTTTTTTTTCCTTAATAATGTTATTGAACTATAGAATCTCCTGGTTTTCTCACAGATTTAAAATGGACAGCTTGGATTTTCTGACTTTAAATATTCTAAGTACAGGGAGATTTTTAGAAGGTTTTTTTTTGTTTGTTTTTTAATTGCTACAAAACCAAGAATCACCAAAATCTGTATATAGTATTTAGAGAAAAGAAGCAAAGAACTCCTTTATTCTCCCTTTCCAGTAAAAGCACAGACTCTTGAAAATAAATGGCAAAATTTCAGTGGGCTTAACTTCAAATTGCTTTTATTAGCTATAGAAAATTTATATTTGGGGAAAATAAAAGAAAGCAGAACTTAAACACATACTCCTTCACTTTATTAATGAGAAAATGTGCGCACTCCAGCCTTTCACCCACTTGTAGCCCTACAGCACCACATTTTATGTAGTGACTGAACATATTCTTATAAGCCTATATAAACTCAGACTTTTGGATGGGAGAGATTTTCCCAGGGAAACTCTGCAAGGAAGGGAAATGATGTCCAGAAAGTGAACTATATAAAAGATTAAGGTAATTCAGTAGTTCCTTCTATTCATGCCACAGGCTTGCAGAAAGCAGATGTGAAAAGCAAAACTGACTTTAATGGAAACTTGTGAGATTTTTTATTCAACCCTCTCATTCCAAAGCTTAATAAAGCATTAATTATCCTGGCAAAATTTGACAGATATTTCAAAGACAGATTTAAAATTTGTACAGTCTCACTATCCATTCTAATCTGTTGCTATTCTTTCAAGAGTAGAATGGAAACAATATGGGACATTCTTTCTAGTACAATTTAGAAAATTAAATGGACAGTTGTGAAAATGTCTGGACAAATATTGTTTGCTTATTTAATTTCTGCGTATTCCTTTTGTATTCTTTTTCCTTTTGTATCTTTTCATTAAGAATGATTTATGAATTGTTATGGAGTACTTGAGATTTTGGGAACTTCTGTAGAAAAATGGATGCCTTATACTCTTAGGGTTAAGGATAAGAACTTCAGATCCCTAGTCGTTTGTTCAGAGACAATAGCTGAATTGTAAGGGGATTGTCTGACAACCGTATTAATATTCATGGACACATACATCAGATTGGTATTCATCTTGGCACATTCACAAACTCACGTGTGCAAAAAGCTTTTTCCTTTTTCATTTTTTTTTTAACTCGTGATTTTTGTGTGAAATATTATTGAATTATACAGGAAAGTACAAAAGTTTTTGTGTGAAAATATACTGTTTGCATACTTTCTGTTGAAGTAGTGTTTTGTATTTGTTCACAGCCATGTGCATTCACAGTACAGAGTACAATTTCTACTCCTGCTTGATCACAAGTTTTTAGAACTTAAATCTGGATTAGAATGAATTTTTCCTGGACCTTGTCTAAAGCAACCTGTCCTGGGAATTCCACTTACTAGAGTGAGAAAAGAATATTTAACAATATTACTAATGCTTATGTTCACAGTTAAGGACATTTTAATAACATGATGTGTGGGAACGCTGAAATCAGGAATTCAGTTCAAACATAATCAATTAATTAGTATATAGCATGAACATCTAACAGTATTAAATCCATAGAAATCTGGGAATAGTAAAAGGCAGAACATTCTCTATGCCATTTCCAAGAAGATGATGACATGATTAAACTTTGCAGAAATTGAAGTATAAGAAAGAAAATGTTAAGTATTTTAGGAAAAAATCATTCTCTCTTTTTTTCCTTTTTTTTTCCCAAACACAAGATGTTTTATGGCTGTCTTCAGTGCTCTTTGATCTGTGTCGAGTTTTTTTTTTGGCTGGGGAAGGTTTCTTTTCAGCAATCCTTGCTAAGTTCAGATTTATAAGTGGAGTACTGTTGGTCTCATTATTGGCCATTGCTTTTACCTAGGTTTGCACAAGCCTGCTGGCTTTTTTTTTTTTTTTTTTCTGTATTTCATTAGCTATAGAGATCTGTATAAACTCCTTGAACTTTACAGACTACTGCCACAAAGAACTTGTGAAAAAATTCCTTAAATTGAGCCTGAAGTTAAGATGGTTTCTCTGCGTCATGTGAGAGAAGATTTTATCATTCAAAAGTCTTTTCTATTACACTGGAATATACTCAAGGTCTACTATAAGATTGTTCCTCCCATTTCCACCAATAACTTGTACTGAATATAGCAGAAAACTTGTCTTAAAAGTGAGTATCAAAGAATATCACTACTCCCTAGTGGAATCAGGAGTACTATTTTTTTATTGTCAGACACAATGACAAATCATATCTCCCAGTCTCTCTTCTCTACTGAATTCTTATATCACATTTTTTCCCCACATATTTAATAATTTTTTACTTTCTGGTAAGTCTTTCATGTGACATTTTATCAGCTGTCATTCTATGAGTTTGATAACATATCCCATATCTTTCACTTCCTTCTATCAAGTACTTCCGTGATGGTAGAATAATTTGTTTGTTTTTAATTAAGCTAAATGTTAATAATATAATTGTAGAAGGCAAAGAATACTTCAGTAGCAGAAACCTTGAGAGTATGATCAACAAATTGAAATACTTTTCTTGCAAATTCTTGCAAAACTTGCAAAAAGTTTTTATTTGTACCAAGTTACTGCACATTGTAGACAAACTCATGAAAGAAATCTTCTGACACAACATCCTGCTCATTTTATGACCAGGGTGGTTTCAACTTAGCTTGTCATCACATGCCCACTACACTGCTCTTTCACTCACAAGACCACAAAGAAGGGGAAGGAAACATAACGAAAAAAACTGAACTGAAATGTGGGTTCAGATAAAGATAAGGGGTCATATTTACCATAATGAGCAAACTAATTGGTAAAATAACTCATCTTCAGTCTTGATTCTTCTACCTCCACTTGCCCTGAGTTGTAAAAAGAGATGGGGAACCAGAACTGTGGCCAGTTCATAACAGCTTTGCTGCCTCCTGTTCCTCTTTATGCTCATCCGGAGCCCCAGCATGGAGGTACCTATGTCAGTACTGACCTGATATAATAAGCATCCTTCCCATATTGGGCTTCAATTCCAACACAATGTGCAGTCTTTCAGGAACAGTTTGCTCCTATGTTGATACTCTATTGGGCCCTAGTTCCCATTAGGAAATCTGCTCCAGCTTGGGCTCCTTTCCACAGGTTGCAACTCCAGCCCAGGATCCACTCCTGTAGGGGCTCTCCACAGTCTGCGTCATCCTCCAGGACACATCTGCTGCTACACCTTGATCTCCACGGCTGCACATGGAGATTTGCTTCCTGTGGTGCCCATGGACTGCAGAGGGACAGCCTACTCCTCAGTGGACCTCTCCTGAGATGCAGGGAGCTTCTGCTCAGTGCCTAAATGTCCTAATTTCATCCAGGATTGAGTTGTTTTCTTTGGAGTTTCTTGTATGATGCTATGAATGAGAGAGACATTGTTGAATGAGAGAAGTGGCCAGTGCTCTACCTCTACACAGACTCCTGGATGGTGGTAAATGCCCCATGGGGATGGTTATGGTAATAGAAGAGAGCAACAGGCAGCGCAGAGGCAAACCCATTCAGGCTGCTTTACTATGGAAAGATGTTGCTGCCTGGGTAGAGAAAGATACATCATTGTAAAGATACATCAAGTAGATGCTCATGTATCCAACAGTTTTGCCACTGAATAAGATCAAAACAACCAGCAGATGGATCAAGATGCCAGGATAGAAGTGGTTCAGGTAGATCTGGATTGGCAACATAAGGGTGAACTATTTCCAGCTTGATGGGCCCATGATATTTCAGGCCATTAAGAAAGAAATGCAATGTATGAATGAGCTTGGGATTGAGGGGTGGACTTGACTATGGATACTATTGCACAGGTTATCCATAAAAGTGAAACAAATGCTGTAGTACTGTAGTTAAACAAGTGGATAAAACCTCTTTGGTATGGAAGACAATGGCTGAAATATAAATATAGGGTGGTCTGACAGGTGGATTATATCACACTTTCACAAACTTGCTATGACAGATGCCATGTGCTTATGTTGGTGGAAGGTTCTTGGTTCTAGGAGAAAAAAGATGCTAATAACACACCAATGTTCATAGTTGCTTCTAAACAGTGTTGTACAGAGCCAAGGCCATTCTCATTGAAGGGCTCAAGGAGCTGGAAGGGAACAGAATTAGGACCTCTGACTTAAACTGGCTAAAGGGATATTCCATACCATATGACATTAAATGGGAGGAGTTTTAAAGAGGGGTGGGAGTTCATCTCTTTCTCCTTTGTTGCTCAAGATTCAGCTGGGAATTGGTTAGGTGTGCACTATTATCCTGTTCCATGTATCTATCTTAGTAAATAGTTTTATCTCAACCAATTAGTTCTTTTCTGTTCTCTTTTTTTTTTTTTTTTTTTTTTTTTTTTTTTTTTTTAATTTTTTCCCCACCGAGAAGGGGAGGAGTGAGTGAACGTCTGTGTAGTGCTGAGCCAGCTGGTTAAACCACAACACTGGAGCACCTCCAGCCCTCCTGCATTGACCTTGGTGCCTGTGGGGCTGTTTCTCATTTCTCACTGCTCTCTCTCATCTGCTTTTATGCAATATGTTTTTCCCTTTCTTAAATCTGGTCTCCCAGAGGACACCAAGCATTGCTCTGCCCATTGCTGAGTCTCTTTGGAGCAGCTGGAGCTGGCTTTGATTTGACATGGACTAGTGCTGGGCTATCCTCACAGAGGCTTCCATTGCAGCCCCCTTAATACCAGAACCTTGCCATACAATGGATTTTCATCCAAATGCTAAATCTAAATGCTGAATGAGAGGTAGGTTCACACACAAGGCTGGGTGTAGCCACAATGCCCAGAAGAAAAAATTGCGTTGTGGCACTCTGAGCCTTCTTTATTGTCACTCATCTGGAAGATCATCAGTGTGATCAGAGACACTTTTGCCACCCTGGCATGTCAGCATGTCAGCTTCTGCTTAGCGTTTTACTTTTTTTTATCATTATTCTTATTTTTTTATTTTTATTGTCATGTAGAGATGAGAGGTTGTCTGTACCACTCAGAACCGTTCAGCAGCCTGCAGAGATCACGAAGACTGTCCTCTCTCTTGGAAGATATAAATTTCCTAAAAAGGAAGTATGGAAAGGAAACTTTATTTATTTTTTGAAAAGACAAATGTCGAACTGAGGATTGTGTGAAGGAGGAGAGGTAGACAACATTAAGCAACAAAATGACCAACAAACTCTATACAGATTACTTGCAAGGAAAACAAAGGCAAACACACTAAGAGGTAGAGATGGTTCGAAAAGAAGAGACTTCCTTGCTAATACTGAGCCAGTTTTAGATATTTTTACTACTTTGTCTTACATCTTTCCTCTGCAGGCCTGCTAATGTAGCAATAGCAATGTTTTAGGATCCTTCCATTTGATAGTAACAGGGTTGTTTGAAAGAGAAGGGCAATAACAAAAACATTCTCAGTTATATAAATATAACTGTTCTCCTTGTCAAATAATCTTAGTTAAGCCAGCTAAATGATTTCACAGCTATGTATTGGCTCTTTGATAAAAACAGAGAAAGTCTGCTTCCTAAAATTAATGCATCTAGCAATCAATATATTTGGCTGAAGCCAGGTAAATTGCCATCAAGTACTGCATAAATTCTTCTCCCAAGAAGGTCTCTGAATTGTAGTGTGCAGTTTTCAGGTGGTAATCTTAATCTCCAGAAGCTGCTAATCATGCTGTATCATGGGCACACAGGCATCCTCAGACCAACTGCAAGACTCATTCACAAGACTTAGAGAAAAAGCAGAGACACAGGGTGGCAAAGAACACAAGCAGTCAGAAGCAGTTTTCTGCTATTTAGTAGAGCTGCTCTGAAAGGAGAGGCAGAGCTGATGAATGGGTAAGAAATGCAAGTTGCTGACACCTGAAAGTGAAGACTGAAAGTTGATTCTGAGTCGTACTGCATTTCCTTTTCCTGTACTATGGCCTACACTCTGTAACAGGAACAAGGCACCCCAGTATCTTCCTCAGAAAAACAGTTATGTTGAGGAGAAACAGCACTCACTGGATCCTGGATGCTGGCATAAAAAACCTGCCTGACATTTAAGTCTCGTTATGCACCTAAGTCAAGAAACAGATGTAGTTCAGTCTCTTTAGCCAAGGGTCTGCTCTGGCATGAAGTCATACAGACTGATGTAGGGACTTTCTGAGCCCCTGTCAGTACAACTATGTTATTGACAGTCTGAGAAAAATGATGAATTATGTTATTTGAAGAACAAAATAAGTTTTACTTTTTCTTTTTTTTTTTCTTTTTAGCATAATTTTGCCAGTTTTAAATAAAGTAAGTAAAAAAGTTTGATTGATCCATTGTAAAGGAGTAATAAATGATATGTCATTATATGATGGGTAATCAAGAATCATACATCTCCTTTTTGGATCACTGTATTATTTTAAACAGATTGCAGAACTATTAGTTTCAAATACAATAACAATATCAATGTAAATCATAGAAATTGTTTTGTAATACTGAATTTGACTAATATTCCCAAATCAGTAAGCAGAACGTGATACAAGTACCAAGACAAATCAGGTAGTTAAAGAAAGGAAGAGAGTAAAAGCAACATGAAACAATGGTGTCTAATACTAAAAGCAATTAGAAAGACCAAATATATGAATTTCTCATTTCTTATGAAAGAAAAAGCCTTAAGTATGCAAGAAAAAAAATACAGCACAAAACCTCCGAATTTCTGTCTTAAATTTCAGTTACTTCTGGAAGAATCGGTTACAGTGCCCTTTCTCATGCACTGCTATAACAGTGTCAAATGAATTCAATGAGATAACTATTGCAATATGGCACTATCAGGAATGAGTCAGTGCAGAACTAGTGGATCCTGACTAGTTTGCAACCAACATCAAGGAAATGCCACAGGCAGGTCAGCTGCAAATTCTTTCTGAAGTATCTGGCAGTGTGGCTTTGACCAAGACAGAAGTCCCTAAGTATCGTAAAGATATTTTCTTATGTGAAAAGACAAAAAGTACCCTGCAGTAAGAGTAGTCCAGCAGCACCAGTAGAAAAAATCCAATCCCCTGAAAAAAAACCACCCCACTCCAGTTTGAACATTAAATTTTAGGGAGACAAGCTTTCATTTTTTTTCTTGTTACAGAAAAAAGAGTGAGTTTAAAAAAAAAAAAAAAAAAAAAAAAAAAAAGAAAGAAAGAAAGAAAGAAAGAAAAGAACAGGTGGAGAAAGAGAATAGACAATTTTAAAATTATGTAAAAATAATCAAGTAGATGTGCTTCCAGGCTTGTCCTCTCAGCTAAGAATGATTTTACATCCAGATTACAAAGACACTGACAATAGGGCTTAACAATGACAGTGCATGCATAACCCTAACCACGGCAGTTTGACTGGCATTTCAGTAATACTGTATGCAACTGAGAGCCTTCCAATCAGCCAGAACAGTGGGATCCACTGAGGAATCATGATCAAGTAGCTATTAGGCCAAGTGGTATTGTCAGAATTTCTCAATTTATGCAGCTTCTTTCAGATATCTGAGTCCTGAAGCTTCCAAATATCTAAAGGGTTCAATATCGAATAGAACATGTATTTAAGGAAAATTGTCCCCCAAATTACTATGCTATTGTCATTTGTTCTTTTCCAGATCACTTAAAGGGTAAAGTGGAGACTATTTTTAAAATTCAATATGAAAAAAATTACAACTGAAGTTTCTTTAGAAAAAAAAAGTTCATTTAACCAGCTGCATCTCTCTTTTGTACTCCGCTCAGATGTTAACTTGAATTACAGCTTCCAGCTTTCTCATGCATTTTTGTTGTTTGTCATTTGCGTTTTGGGAAACTTAGCACAGTTTTAGATTTGAACTGATTTGTACTCCTTTGGCCAAGCCTGAGGCCTTCCAAATTCTTCTGGAAAAATACCACATTCACAATCACTCTGGCAAGGTTCTGCTTGGACTTTTTTCAAGTAACACAAAAGCTGTGCAGCATGTTATTTAATACCTTATCCTTTTCTCATTGAAGTCTGCTGCAGAGCTCTGATTGACTTTGCTGGGAGCAAAAAAAGAACCCCAAATGCCAAACTGATTTGGTTACTGCTTTAATAAGGGGATTTTGCAGCATGTGGTATAATCAGTCTTTGTACAAGCTCAGCACTGGGAAAACTATGCACCCTGACAATCTGCTTTTCCCATGATCTGCTGGCCAATTCTTGCCTACCAGTGCATCCAGGAAGAAGTCTACACTCAATTTGTCTGTCTGCAGTACTACAAGTGCTTAGGACCACAGAGAGGAAATGACTCTTGGATCCCAGAAAAGCAAGTGCCTAACGTGAGAGTAAGTTAGCATTCTAAACACAAGATTTTGCATTTCTTATCTGGGTACACGTGTAGAAGCTTGTTACGACCTTTTGCTCAAATATTAAGGGAAAAGAACTGAGCAGTTTTTACAACTCAGATTAAAATTGCATTATACAAGCTGCAGCTGCATTGGGCAGATGAGAGTCATAAGCTCTTCATGTAGAAAGGAACTATATTTTGCCATAAAGGCAAAAAGAGAAGGAGCACTACTTGCAGTGATAAGCTATTGCATTGCAGCATTGTGGTCATGAAGGATATGCCATCAGTAACAGAAATCTTGTCTGTAGAAGGTATTATATCATTTATCTTGTTTTCTTATTAACTTCATGCAAATATGAAATCAGAGACTGCTGATCCAGTGCCACAAGGGCACATCACTTTCCCAAATGTGTAATAAAACTCACTTTATTTAATTTTATTTTCCATCTTCTAAAGACAGGATGAAAAAGTTAGAAAAATGTGGGTACCTCCAGTTAAAGAGGCATTTACATGTGTTCAGGGAGAAATGAAACCTGATAATCATTACTTTGGTGAGTGTGAATCAGCCATAAGCTGTGCTATGCTTGCTCATATATAGCTGCAAGCTGTATTAACTAGGGACAGTGGGGAAGCGTGACAGCTACAAGTAGTGCTGACTGAGAGGGAGCGACAGAGAACTGTGGATTTGGGATCCACTTACCACATTTAAAGTAACTACTCTTCAGTGAAGACACCATCTTCAGACTGTTCTTCCCTTTAGTGGGATTCACTTTGCCTCTCCTTCAGAGAAAACAGAAATGGGTTTTTAGGGACTGTTTTGTTCTATTAACAAACAAAATGATAAGGAAATGGCACAAAAGAGAATAAGTGAATTACCACAGGCTCTGTTGCTGCCAGGATGCCAGTCACAAACTGAAAGAAGTGTGATACTATTGGTAATCATGTAGAGACAGTCAGGGGAACAGTAAAACAAAATGAAAGTGCTTAGAAGAGGAAATATAGAAAGGGAGACTCATGGGGAAAAAAAAATAAATAATCAATAATTTTTAAATACTTATTAGTAAGGGACTTTACTGAATATTTTTAGTTGCAGATTCACATGGATGTTGACTGACATTTATGTATCTACAAAATACATCTTTCATTAATGTATTTGAAGTTTCCCAAACTCACATACATCATTTCAAAATGAGAAAAATATTATAAAAGGAATCATTAGCTTCATTCTTGAAATGATGTTATAGTTTTCTTTTATTATTGAGGACTTACCACTACTTCTAAGTCCTGATCTCCTAGCAGAACAGCATAACGTGTAGCTATGGTGGTTTTGCATAGAACTGAAGCTATATCATTATCTGGTCCATCTCTTAGATCAACTGAATAAGATTAAATGGAAGAAAAAAGAGAAGATTGGAAGGAATAGCACTGACTGTTTAGTCGTGTGGTTTGAATGTAACACTATTTGTTCACTAATTACCAGTTTAAAAGCGAGTGCAAGTAGATAAAAAGTGATCGGGCTTATTGATTTTCACACTGAAGCATAGTGGGAAGAGGGAGCAGTTAAATTCACTAATTCAATAAGAATCAACATTTCTTGTATGGAACAAATTTAATTATTGAAATAACTAAATAAATCAGGAAGATAACAGATAGCATTAGATGCTGACTTCAAGAGAATTTATAGTTAAGGATGTGAGCGACAGAGTCCAGGTCTGTGTCTCCATTTTAATAAAGTCAGTGTCACTAAGTTTTCTGTCCATCTTTGAATGGTGCCTTTCAGAAATATGTCTAAATACAAGTAGATTATCACACACCTGAAACACTAGAGAATGTGAAGTCAAAAGGAGGATACTCAATCAAAGGTCTGAATGGTCACTGTATGCTAGGCTGTATAGCAAGTTCCTATGATAAGTTTCCCACCCTTACTCTTGTGACATTTCCGAGGGACTTCACTGGAAATATATATGAAGCAAGACATACAGACTATTTGCCTACATGTAAGAATTGCAAAATATGTCATGTAATAATTAGAAACAATATTTTCTATCTCCCCATATCCAGATATTTTAGCATATTCTGAACAGGACTGCATTTGGCAATGCACATAGCCTGTTTGAAATGTCTCAACAAGTCTCCAGTACACAGACTGAGAGATGATAAAAATCTCCCACAGAATTATTTATCTGTACTGCACAGACTGAAGAAAGCTTTGTCCTTTTTATTTGGGACAGTTTAATCAGATGTCTTTGAATATGCTGGGTAGAATAAAGTAAGCTTAATAAACATGCACTGGCTGAAAACTTCTTTGTAATAGCTCAATATTTGTTTCCCTTTCTTTTCTTAATGCCTTTGAAAGAAACCATTTGAAGCTCTGAACTTCTCCTGCACTGAAGTGCGTGTAGAGATGAGAAGAAAAGCCAAGCTGACTATTGTGATCATGCTTTTCTTTTTGGTTTGAGAGATAAGGCTCCACAGAAATCTGCCTTGTGGTACTGAATTTAAGAAGATGAGCAAGGCAATGGCTTGAAACTTCAGGCTTTCAATAGTGTTGCTATATTTATATGAAGATACAATAATAGTAAGGAAAAAGCCTCTGCCCCAGTAAAAAACAGAGGAACTAATCCTCCACCACTGAGTACAATGGGAGTTTTGTTATTTACTTCAGTGGATTCAGAACATAGTATAGAGAATAGCATCCTCAGTTCAGCACACACAGAAATGAAGGTTAAAAAGACACCCATCATCAGTGCCCCCAATACTCAGATACTGGGATTTGTTAGTTTTTATACCACTTTTCTCTTTGTCTCCATTGTTTAAAAAACAGGCTATGGGTTTTTTTGTTTTGTTTTTTTGTTTGTTTGTTTGTTTGTTTGGGGGTTGTTGTTGTTGTTGTTGTTTTTAGATTATTCATTTTTCAAATGAATCAATTTCTGATTTGCTTATGTTTACTATGTCACTCCTGAGAACTGTTTCACCAAGGCAGGTAGTTTTACCTGCACAAAAAAATTGTGTAACTTAGATAGATGCATATTTATGCATTTCATATCTACACATAAGTGTTTTTTTTTTAATGTGGTTTTTTTAATATGTATTTCTATACCTATACATAAATTACATGCTGGAAGTGAAATTGTTTTATATGTTTTAGCTGAAATTTAAGTTTTCTAGTCTATGATACAATCACACTCACCATTATATAAAAAATATTCTAATTACATGCTACTTTTCATATCTAAATGAATATTTTAACAATTTAATCATTCATAAAATATGCAACCAGACAATGATTCAGCATCAGTTTCTTTTCTACAATGTTTGAATGACTTTGGTCATAACAAGGAAAGGAAAACAGACTAGAAAGGATTAATCTTAATTAAAAAACACAACAGTTCAACCTCCTTTACAAAGGATTTTTCAGTCTTGTCTGTATGCCATCTTAATAATTCCACCTAAGAAAATTAACCAATACAATTTTACTAAACAACAGATAATTTAAAAATCATCTCTATGAGCATTCTACTAACTTTCTGTTACCAGTGTGAGTCATTCTTTTGCAGATTCATATTTCTTTACAAAGTTATGATAGGAGCATGAATAATAAGAAAATAGAAAGTGACTGTATGTTATTTTAAACGAGGCTGCTTTTCTTTAGCTACATCTCAAGATTTTTTACTTGAAGATGCATTTCCTGAAATATAGACAATGCCATTTAAAGAAAAGAAAAAAACATTTTAACAGAAAAAGTAGTTGAGCTCTGGAGCTATGAGCTTTGAGAGTTTCTGACTCTGTGTGCTATGAGAGTTTGAGGGGCATTGTTGTAGATGATTTCCAAAGATCCTTGCCAACCTTGGCCACTCTGTGATGTTAAAAATGTGTGGCTTATTCCAGAACCCATCTCCCAAACAGTTGTTCTATATATAGGAAAATAAAATAGGCATCCCCTTATATCACATGCAAGAGCATATAGCCATTTGTTTTGCTTAAAGGAGGCATAAGAAAGTTGCTACAGTGGTTGTGAATAAACCACATGTATTGTATACAGATCTAATGCAAATAAGAACTGGATTTATAATTTTAAAATGTGAACAAAATGGGAGTGAATTCTACTTGTTACTGGCAGATTTCTTGTCTGATTGAAGTTGCTTTCCATAGCCTGTTCAAGTCTTGTCTCTTCACGAACCATGCAAATGTAGTTTGACTTCTGTGCACCAGATCCCAGTATCCACAAGGCAAATAACACACCACCCTATAAACAATCATCTCATTACAGTAGAGTAATATCAGTAATAATCTTTTCTCAGAATAAGAAGACAATTTCTGTTAAATTAGCCAGACCACACAAAAACAGAAGTTATGCTTCTTTTATGTTCAGTGTGGAACTACAAATAGAACCTGAATTGTGACAGAATTAAAGCAGTATGGACAGATACTTAGTCTCACACAGGTTTATCTGATAAAAAGTAAGCATTTTCTTGTTAACAACATAGAATAAACAAACTGAATTCTTATACTCATGCAGTATGTATTTTAATCTTGGACACTAATATTTACTTATTTTGCTTATTACTTATTTTACTGCCAAACTCCATTCAATTTGTGAACTGCAGACACAATCCAGAGCAGACTTTGCTGCCCAAGAGGATGAAGAGTAGGGATAAGAGGTCTGAGCTCATCTGCTAGGTTACACAGTTATCAACAATCATCTTAAACAGGCTTCCTTAGGCTACCATCATGTTTTGAATTAGTCTGCTCTGCATGAAAATCTATGGATTGGAACAAGCTGCCCAGGGAAGTGGTGGAGTCATTGTGCTTTAGTGGGCATGGCGGTGATGAATAAGATTACCTTAGAGGTCTTTTCTGACCTTTTCTTACAATGAATCTATGATTCTATGATTTCTCTGTAGTTTATTTTCAGGGCTGACGGCACACTCAGACTTCCCTGTCCCTGCAACCCCTCGGGTTGTCTGCACCCTGGCCCAGGACCCCATTTCAGGCCATCAGCCCCTGCTGCAATGAGGCCACAGAATGGCTGATCTCCAGCTCCCCATAGCCCTGCCTTGCCCACCAATGGCCCTCACCCAGCCTGGCCCACTCAAAGGCTCATGTCCCAGAGTAGTCTCAACTCATTCCTGTCCTCAGTGCTTGGGGTGTCCCTCAACAGCCCTGTTCCTGGCTGGGGGTGGGACAGGACCTGACTGCCGTGTAGGTCTCTGAAACCTGTTAAACAGCAATGCCAACATGTTTCTCTCCCTGTTCATTAACTGTTAACTTCTTGTTATTCCTTATTTGTGGCCAGCAAAGATACACGACATTATTCTTGTCATGCCTGGATGCTTGGCATGCCTGACAAGCTGCAAAAGAACAAACATTTTCATTTAATAAAAAGAGAAAAACAAATAGTAAATATGTCCTTCTTGCATACGAATAATGGTTTTTGGCTTACAAATTTTCACTGCTTTCATGGAGAACAACCTAACCTGAAGCAGTTACATAAATAGAAAGCCACTGTGAAAATAAGGTAAAAGAAGTACAAGGACGAATAACCCATGTCTGAAACTGAACAATGTCTGATGTACAAACAGCAGCTCCCCAAGGCCAGACCCTCGCCTGCAGGTGACTGTTTCTATTCTGTAAGACAAGCTTGTACACGACATATTGAGCACACCACTGCAGGTTTTCAAGCCTTGCCTATGCTGACAGAATTGCTTTCTGTACCTACAATGAAAGAAAGTATATTTTGATTGACAAAATGTATAAGAGGTTCAGTACACAAGAAATGTCC